GGAATGTCTTTCGATGTTCTGGTGAATGATCGTTCTGCACATGATAGAATGTATACTTGTTTTCGTTCTATTGATATGCATCTGTTATTTGTTTTCTTACTTGCCTAAGTAATTTTTGTTGCCTAAAAATGTCCTTATACTCCGGTCCCGGAGTCAATTGTTCATACTCATGATTTTAAGGTGCAACCTGTCTTGGTTGCCCTTGCTGTCTTGCCGGTTCCTGTTGTCGCACCGGCTGCATTTGTCTGAACTGCTCGTATTGTTCTGTTGGTATAGTGTATACCGGTAGAATCTGCAGAGTTTGTTGATGTACCGACTAGGCCTGTGACAGTAGGCGGTTCTCGTTCTTTGAACGGGAACTGTTTTTCAGTTGCCATTCAATAAACGGAAACGGTTTTTCAGTTTCCGTTCTGAACTAGGAACGGTTCAGTAGTTCACGTTTCTAGGAACTAGGAACGGTTCACCAGTTGTGGTCTCGCGAATGGGAACTACAGTTCTTTCTCAACTGGAAACTGCTCAGTGTCCTTTTGTGATGTGTTGATATATTATGTATTTCACTTCGCAAGCATAAGATTTTGAAAGAGTGAGCGCTGGGATGAGATATGCTCAAAGAGACTCTGAGATTAGGTGGTAGACTTTGCTGATTGAATTTAGTTCGTTACTTCTTAAATGCAATGACAGTTATGACTTCAGCGTCAGAGACCCACAAGTGTCTCCATACGTCGTCGTAAAAAATCGACTATCACTAACCTCTGCAACAACAAGAATGTCTATGTTTTTGAAAGACAAAGTATGAATGTTGGTAGTTTTTATTATTTTGATTGTGAGTATTTCTGTGAATTTTTTCTTAGAAACAAGCACGTAAAGTAACGACCTCAAATAAACCGTCGTATACATATTGAACCGTAAAATGCACTAACATGCTAAAGGAAAATGAACGCTAATAGATTAGAAAAAGAAGCTCGAATATTTTATACGGTTTCCAGTTCAAAAAGAACTGTAGTCCAGTTCAAAATCTTATGTTTGCGAAATGAAATACATAATATATCAACAAATCGCAAAAGGACACTGAGCAGTTTCCAGTTGAAAAAGAATTGTAGTTCCCGTTCGCGAAACCAGAACTGGTGAACCGTTCCTAGTTCCTAGAAACGTGAACTGCTGAACCGTTCCTCGTTTCTAGAAACGTGAACTGCTGAACCGTTCCTAGAAACGTGAATTGCTGAACCGTTCCTAGTTCAGAACGGAAACTGAAAAACCGTTCCCGTTTATTGAACGGCAACGGAAAAACAGTTCCCGTTATCGAGAAACTGCAGTACAAGAAACTATGAACTCTCACAGGCCTAGTGCCGACATCATCTTTCGTAATAAGGTCAATTTTTTGAATTTACTTGTCAAAGCAAATTTTACAATAACATATGCCTATATGAGGGCGACTACCACAATACACATCCCATATGCTGCTTATATTTGTGCCATTCTTATCTGCTCAGACAAAGCAGATTGTTTAAGAGAGTTTTCAGAGATAAGATACAATTGCTGCTCAATAAGCATACATCAAGTTTTATTGATCAGCAATTTAACAGACTTTTGAATGACATTCACAGTCTGGATCTTACGCATTTCACAAATAATTATGAATGCATTCGAGTAAAATTACGTCAGACGGACTGGAAAAAGAGAGACCTCCTACTCAGACAGAAAAAAGCTATTAATTGAAACAGAGATGTTTGATCTCATCTTCGGTGATTTCGAGATCAATTCTTTGTTTTGCCTGCTTCAAGTATACGTTGTATCGATCGTGGAATATATACTACTGTTTGTTGCTGTCCGTTGCCGTTGAGATACGTGCTCAGGTCGTTCAATAGACGATTGAATGATTTAACATCGCTTGCTTGTAATGTGAATGTGTCCGAACGATTAGCTTGGATATCTGACACTTTGACACCGGCAAAATGCGTTTTCAGTATTGAGTTTAATTCAACTTTTGTTGTTATTTTGGTACCTTCTAATATCAGTGGAGATATTGAGAGTGAATTTGGCAGCTGTTCTTGCTAATGCTGTTTATTTGTGGCGCTGTATTGATTACGCGTCTGATCGTTTGAAGAATATCCACCTCTTGCTCCACGTCCACGATATCCGCCATCACCACGTGCCTCTTTTGGTGGCATTCAGTTGCGATGTTTTGGATCAATCAAAATGAATAAATTTGATGAAAATTCGTAAATTTTGTTGTTGTTGTTTATTTGGTTTGTTTGATGACTCACTCCCTGTATATATAATATAAGCAATCACTTAGGATGTGTAAATAATATAAGCCAGCGCTATCTAAAAATACAAGAGGCTTCGCAAATACGACCTCTCTCTTTATAATAATTTGTATATAAGCCAAAATATTTATATAGTTCAGAAAGCTCGTGAATTGCTGTGTCACCTAAAGAATGTAGACACTATTAAGTGGTGAACATTCTCTCCTTTATATAAAAATTTTTCTTCTCCAGTTCTGTGACTCATGAATGTTGTCCACATTCACCAATGCGTGGAATATAATATATGTATTGTTCTGCTTTTCTTTTGACGAGAAACGAAATATGTGTAATATATTAAATAAGTGTACATAAGATTATGTCTTTTTCTAATCTGAGAATTTTTCAATTTCTGT